AAAACCTACGGCTTGCTGTATCCGAGACCACTACCAAGGAAACTCCTGCCATGCCTTTTATAACAATTGTATAGTTGAATAACTTATTTAAATATTTTTACAGAACTTTGAGCATCAGTTGTGTTTGGCAATGAGCAAATTATGGAATAGCGGATAGATTCTTTAGACTTAGCGTATTTTTTAAATTATCCCATTCTCTTTTTGTAGCACGACGGACATCGGAAAAGAGGAGTAAGTTCAAAACATCTATTCAACCGATACCGCAAAGCATTATTTAACTTATAGAGTTCCTCTGACAAGGACTTCCAAAACCGATTACTTTTTTTTCGGCTAATATATAGGCTCTCAAGTGACATACACTCTATCACGAGCTGTTTTGTACAATTATCTCGACGTCTGAATGGATACAGTAAACAAAACCTTTTAATTTACGACTAACAGAAGTAGCTTTGTCATTGCTTGACGAAACGAAATCAAAGTTGGATTTATTTCCCTACGCCGGCTTACATAGATTCGACATTGTGCAATCGTAACCGTGATCAGTTAGTATATCAGAACTCTCTTTTAATTCTTATAATGTACTATAGTAGTATAATTTTGTGAACAAAGCAAATTGCTTATTGCAGCTACGAAGGATCTCAAATACGCTCCTCTGCAACGTTTCGCTGGTAAGTGCTTAACGACGCATTAAAAGGAACCATGAATTAAAATTTGTGTCACGTATTGCCTAGAAATATCTGCTTAAATTTATTTGCAGGCAAACATACCCCGCTTTTTACTTTGCAATTTATATTGTCAAAATGAGTAGTTCAAGGTCTAACAGCTAATAAGTTTTGTTGTTTGCCAAATTGCCATAAAAACCGAGTTTAACTTATGGCAAAAGCAATTTTCGGTCTTGTAGGGCTTTCTCCTATCGAAGAAGCGAAGAGATCCGATGGCAGTAAGTATGAATAATTTTACCTTATTTCATAAAAAGAAACTACATCGTACATCGGTACATCCGTACATCGGGAAAGCTGTCTGTTCTTGCATAAGCAAGTTAATACTTGTGGGCATACATAAATTATTTGTATTAATATATAAATTTTGAAGACAAAGAATGCAGACTGCCTGCTTTAAAATTAAGTAATAATTATTTTACCTTTGCAGTTCTTGACAGTGGCCCAGAATGTCCGGTGGCTCTGCCCGCACAGATTGGTCCAGTCCATGCTACGTATATCTGTTTCGTTAAATTGTCGTTTTGACTGATAATCAAATACAATTGACTAGCGGATAAAGGTATTTTATATGCGAGTCCCTGGAAGTAATTGAGA